TGACGAGTTTAAACATAAATATAAAGGTATGTGTCAATCAAGATATATGCAAGAACAGGTTTAATGATTAACTAGATGGAACATTGTGGGTGTGGTGTATGATTATTAACACTCTGTTATAATTTTTTAGTATATTACTTGTGTGGTATAGAAGACAATTATCTAAGTATGTAATTATGTAAGAATGTTAACACTGTTATATTTTTTTAGTATATTACTTGTGTGGTGTAGAAGAGAATTATCTATGTAGAGATACTGCTTGCAAACCAATGATGTAAGATGATGTCATGGGGTAGGACTGGATAAGTCTGACTTCTTCCTACTCCATTCAAGCATGTACTAGGTATAAGCAAATTGATATTGGATTAGCATTTGTTAGATATGTGTAAAATTATGTGTGTTGATATATCAACTGTCTTTACATGCTTGAAAGAATAAATCAAATAATGTACAGTTGTTGTTCTCTTACATTGTTTGCTGGGATCCACTGGGAAAGTGGTGTCAGTAACCATTTGGTTTATCCTTTTCTATCATGAATGGAGTGAATTAATTGTCATGGGGTTGAGGAAACAGTCATGGTTTATGGTAAATTATGGCACCTACTGCCATGCATACTAAACGAGCACTAAGACAATTACTTCAAATTCACAATAATGAGAAGAGTAATTGGAGGTATAAAACTTCATGTTATGAACTCCTTTCTATGTGCAGATCAGCTGCTTCTTCAGTAAATAGTGTTGAAGGAGTGTGTGGTAGCTCATTGTGAAGCAAAGACAAGCAGATACCCTCATTTCTGACAAACACTTCCTCACTGACAACATGTAAGTGTCACTGCTAATTAGATATACAGATGTTTGAACAGTAAGCCACTGCAAACCTATTAAATTTGGCAATCCGCACACCACAGGCAATGTCACAACACCATCTACAGAATTTACCTTTGTAAGAAGCATATGTACCTTGGTATAGTTGTCTCTACCTACAAAGCTGGTCCCCATATGTACAGATGTTGTGGTAAGCATTCCTGACAAGACGGTTAATCTACCCTTGGGTGGCACTGGGTACACCCACCCAGGAGTTCATCACAAGCAGATGGGAGGTAATTGGAATGGATGAATGCAGATGCCGCAACGCAGGGGAATGAATTCATCACATCAGGCCTATAAATGAACTGATGAAGGGACTGTTTGTTTGTAAGGTAATTAGGCAGAAATTTGTTTTAATTTTTCTCATCATCAGCTACTAATTCCCCCTTTCCTCCATCGTCTCCACAGAAAAGGCATCGGCCGTCAGCCTCCACCCCTCAGCTGGGAGAGAGATAGCATGTAAGTGTGTGAGAGAGAGACAGAGAGAGGGAGAGAAGGTGCACACAGTAATGGCACATGGAGAGAAAGGATTGCATTGCAGTTAAAAGGTGAGAAGTAATTTGTCTAAGCATGTGGATTGTTTCCTGATCATGCATGAGTAGACCCCATAGACTGTATAAAAAGAAAGACCACTTTCCTCCACTATGCAGAAGTGAAGCCAAAATATTGTGAATACAGCGGCTGTCATCTTGACATTCTGCAGCCAGATTCTGTACAGTATTGACTGGGGAGTGGAATGATGTATCAGACCACTGTACCTATCAAAGCTGTCAAATCATCAGAAATACGTCCCTTTTATATCATCAAATAACTTGTTAAAAACACCCTTACCACAAATATGACCACTTGTGCACAAATCAGTGTGATGTGACACTGGGTTGCTTCAATTTATAGAGCTGTCATGTTGTCCATCTTTTTTTACAATCAGTGATAGACCCACACTAATTTTGTGGCCGCTAGCTTCCACCCAGCACCAGGACTACAGTCCTGTGCCAAAGTGTCCACCTGGGAGTGTTGATGTGAACAAGGGGCCTTTGCAGGCAGGTTTTGGCATATGTAGTATCTTGAGGACGCCATAAGAAGCTGCGCCAGTGACCAACAAAAAGCTGGTCTAAGTCAACAGTTCGGCATTTTAAAGGTGCTGGATGCAAGTGCATAATACGCATGTGCATAAGCGGGTGCACAAGGCGCAGACATGTTGCTTGTCACTTAGACAGGGACTCTCAGCAGTGCACCACAATGCAACAGATTAAAAAAAGAATGTTTTCAGAATTAAAATTGATACCCAGTACACCAAGTTATTTTAAAACATGTAAATACTTGATTATATTACATATCAATAATGGTCAATGTAAATAGCAAATTGTTTGAGCAATCATGGCTCTACACACAGGTATTCAAATCATTCCTGTCTCCCTCCAGGTACATCTGCCATCATAATCCGCTGTGGTACCAGTGCAACTGCCTTTTAAAGGAAATGAGACATGGCGTTTTGATTGGTTTATTGCATGTTATGCCCAAAATACAACCATGGGTTAATTATGAGAATAAGTCCAAACAATCGCCTGATGCAGATATATTTTTTGTGCTGCCAAAATAGCAAAATTGGTCTGGACACGCCCTGTATGCACCTTGATAGTTGCGCCTGGAAAGGTACGCTTTAGACTGTCAAAACAGGGCCCAGTGTGTGCATATATTATAAGTAATGGTGGGAAAAGGAAAGTGCTGAGCAATGAACAGTTGATAAGATGAGATGTGCTGCCGCATGCTGTGATATTTGTGTGATATTTATTTCACACAGTAGTTGTGAAAACACTACTCATAGCCCTGATCCCAGCCCCTGCAGCCCTGAGACTGTACTGTCCTCATTATGACTGTCAGAAACCCAGAGCTCCAACTTAGTCCCATCCTTCAGTGCTTTGAGGCATGTTAAGTCCATTTCCTTCCAATCTGTACCAGTCACTCAAAGTGGCATGGACATCGTTACACTGATTAGTCACTGACACTATTGGAGTCACCCTATCATCATTTCATTAGTGGAATGAAACAGGCACGCCAGTTGAAATAATGCCAAAATAGTTCATAGATCACAGTTTTTAGCATAAGCATGTTACTCCAGGGTTGCTGCACACTTTTTAAAATAAAATGTAAGACTTTGTAAGACCTTCTAAACACCTAAACACACACACACACACACACACACACACAAAGCTCCATTTCCATAGCAAAGCAAACACACATTAGCACAGGCGTGACATATGTAACCATTTTTCATTCACATTAAACGATCAAATATCAAACACAGATATGAACATGTAGCTCATGTATGCATAATACATGGAATAATGCATTACATATGCTTTAAAGTAAAAGCTTATTTAGATGACTGGTGTGACAACAGACTATGGGTGTGATAACAAACTCATTTAAAATGGTGAAGAGTGTGACAACAGACTATGGGTGTGATAAACTCATTTAAAATGGTGAGAACTACATGTGTGGTTTCGATAACTTGCAGGTCAACAGACAGGTGTAAACACAAACACATTTATATGAACATGTAGAGTACATACAGTACATTCTATTAACAATTTAGTAGGTCCACCTAACAAAAATTAATACAGGGTCTAGATTTCCAAGTTTAAAGCAATTAAACTGTAGTTAAAGAAGTTTAAAGGCCAGTGAATTGTTTTCAGATCAGGCCTCGGAGAGGATGTTATCTAGCCCAGGATACCATGATGCACTGCAAACACAGTTTATTAAATAGCAAGTAGAGGTTGCCTGAGATTTGTACATAACATCTTTGTTGAGGCTTTTAAAACCATGATGAATAAATGATGTGCTGCTTCTGAAGTTTACTGCAGTAGATAGTTTGGTTAATGGAAACAGAGCTTTAACAACTCTCATTAGAAAAGCTCTTAAAAGAAATAGATAGTTGCAGTTAAAGCTGCCTACTGTCATATCATCCATCACTCACTGTGTGCACTGTAAAACATGGACAGGCATGAGCGGAGGAGACAAAACACTGTGACAGTGTTGTCATTTCTAGCTGTCACTGACGAGTGGGATGCAAAGATGTACAGTGGGCAGAGGGAGAATGGGAAGCCAATTCATAAAATTTTTAAATATACAATACCAAACCTCTTCAGTCTTTCAGAGGGTGAGCCTGTGCATGCATATGTAGGCTAGTATGTGCGTGTGTGTATGTGTCTGTGTATAAAAATAAGAATGTTTGGAAAGCCTTGTCTATTTAAAGCTCACAGTTCCAGGGGGTATAAGCGCTGAGGCAGCTCTTTGAATGGTGTGCTGTTTCTAACCCCCTGCATTTCGTTCCCATTCATTCCTTCTTTGTCTGTGTTTCAAGGATCAAAGTAATTTGATATCACTCATAAGTACAAGCATCCATTGTGTTTAAACAAAATATTTCCGTTTTTAAAAGTAGCAACAAAATATCCAACATGAAAAGCTGCTCATGAAAGATGTAAAACTGCTTCTGTTTTTATGTCAGTCATCTTAGTGTGTTGCTACTGCATGTGCAGCTTCATTCACGAGATAACTTAGCCATTAAATGACACATGCTTGGTTGGATGATTTTATGAGCAGAAGAAATGAAGTTGTGTCTTTAAGGTACAACCCTCAGTCTTGCCTTTTTAATGCTACATCTCACTATTGAACATAATGTTTCTCATGGTGCTCCTGGACTGTTATGACTTAGCAATGACCCCAGAAAAGCAATACTAATACTGCAAGCAATACTGAATTGTGATTATTCATCTACCTACTAGCCCTACTGTACATTCAGGACAAATATCTACTTACCTATGAGGATGAGCATGCAGACGAGCAGTGCTATAAGTGCCCCGGGGCTGAGAGCAGCACTCATTACATAGGCTGTGGCACTGCAGGACTGGATTGCTCCCTCTGTGTTGTCAAAGAAAACAGTGTTTACTGCTCTGATTCAACACTAGCTGAGTCAGTTCAGTGAGCAAGGATTAAGCACAATTTTATTATGGAAAATAGTTTTTCATATGTCATTGTGCAGCCCCGTGTTATTTTATTTCCACAAACATAAGATGATAGGAACTACTTGCTGACTAAAACATGGCATGTAGATTACCTTTCAGTGCTGCTGCTGATGCAGAGGGTGACTGTGATGATATTGTCAGTAATGGTGCAGCTCCTAGAGTAGCTCTCACCTGTGTCACAGCCACAGACGTGAATGGTTAGGGTGCCTGTGGAGCTGAGGGAGGGAGGCCCGCTGTCAACCACTAGGATAGGCAGGAAGTACACATTCTGCTCATGGCGATTAAAGCCTGTCCGCTGGGTCCGGATACCGGCTGTGTTGTCTGGGCGAGAAGTGGGAGTGTATTGGAGTCAGAGAGACATGGTAAAGCAGAGAATTACACATGAGACTTAATATTTGAAGAACAAAGCCTCTTTGTATGCTCATTGATGTCTGCTTTTTATAATGCTCCACTAAAATTGATGAAACCTCATCCAAGGAGTTCTTTTATTTTACTTGTTTCTTCTCATTTGAGACAGAAGGAGTAGAAAAAGTCCAGGTGGCCTATTTGACATTAGTAAAGTGTAGGGGAGATAGGGGAGGGCAGGGTGCTCTGTCAGAAAATGGTGGACTGCTCCCTTCAGGTTGGGAGTGAGTTGCTGCCCCAAGTGAAGGACTTTAATTATCTCAGGGTCTTGTTCATGAGTGAGGGTAAAATTGAGTATGAGATTGACAGGCGGATAGGGGCAACGTCATTAGTAATGTGGACCTTGTACTAGACCGTTGTGGTGAAGAAGAAGCTGAGCTGAAAGGCAAAGCTCTCAATTTACCAGTCAGTCTAAGCTTCGGCCCTCACCTATGGTCACGATCTATGGGTAGTGACAGAAAGAAAAAGATTGCGAATACAAGTGGCCGAGATGAGTTTCCTTTGGAGGGTGGTCGGACTTAACCATAGAGAGAGCTGCTGCTCCTTCACATTGAAAGGAGCCAGTTGAGGTGGTCCAGGCATCTTATCAGGATGCCTCCAGGGTGCCTCCCATTGGAGGTCTTCCATGTCCAACTGGCAGGAGACCCCGTTGGGGTTGTCTGGATTACCCTGCTTAACCTACTGCCAGTGTGACCTGATCTTGTATAAGTGGAAGAAAATGGATGGATGGAGATAATTCTTTTAAAAATGTTTACCATTTGATTCACTAATAACACTGAAAATAACTTATTCGAGAAATGATCAATTGCTCAAGTGATGAAGAATAAAACAAACAAAGTATGGTCCTTCTCATGCATACATAGTCTGATTAATCATTTGCCATAATCCATAGATCAAGGACTCACGTTGGATGTCAGGACTGTCAACTGTATCTTCAGATTAAATGACTTCACAGGGAACGTGAACTGCTTGTGCACTGTTAACACCATGTGTTAAAAAAAAACTGTAGAAAAAATGAGTAAGAATCACTGTTTGAAATGAAACTTCACCTGTGTAGATATGAGCTTTCTGTCAGAGACATAGATAGATGAGACATAAAATACCGAAGGACAATTTGACAAATAGAGCCACAGCAGACTTGTGGGTAGACTTGCATAGAGGATACCAAGTAATCCATCTCCCAGAACATGTATCACCGTAACACCATGTCACACTAGAGCTCCTCTGACACATGTGGAACAAGTTTCATATTACAGTTTATTGTGTGCGAACATTGCGCCCCTGAGTTTGTCCCTTTGACTTTTACACAGCATGTTTCTGTCCTCTAGAAAAAGATTCTCTCCAGACTTGTGTATACACATATAGTTTGAGGCATCTTGTCTATTTCTGACTCAAAACCACATTTGAACAGAACAAACCCCTACTTACCTTTCTCTCAAAGTAGTAAACGAAGTGCTTGTTGTTTGCCTTAATTTGAACTTTTATGTAATTGCTTTCCAAAACAACACACAAGAGCAGTTTCTAAATGCTAACATTTTTTGTTTGTTTAGCTTTTTGGTTTTATTTGCTGTAGAGTGATAAGAACCACTAGGCCTCTGGCAGAGACACAAACTATGGATATTATGTGAGATGTGCCTTAACCATTAGGCTACAGGAGCACCTGACCTTCTGAGAGGACAACACTGTTGACATCAACCATAAAATTCATAGTTCAAACTTCATAGTGTCATAAAATTCAGACCTTTTTACTTGCACATAGTTTAGGATGTTAGCATGCCAACATTTGGTAATTAGGACTACATACATACAGTCTTCAGTGATATTCAGTAAAACATTTGGTAATTAGGACTACATACAGTCTTCAGTGATATTCAGTCCACAACTATAGCTGAGGCTGATCGAGTTCCATTAGTTTTGTATAAACTAAATATTTAAATAATTACAACAATTTGTGTGACAAATTTAATAACAATCCATCAGGTAATGGTTGAGACATTATGGTGGCACCAGAGGAAAGGTCAGGGGATCACCATTATCATAAAAACTTATCCTCTGGGAACCATGAATGTTTTTCACAAAGTTTCATTGCAATTAATCCTGTTAAAATGCTTCAGTTTTACAAATATTTCACAAATGTCATGAGGCATTTGCAAAAACAAATGCTGTCATATTTCTTGTGAAGATAGCCTTGAAACTAAACATAAATATATTTCCAAGTCTTTGAATGAATTTTTTTTGATGAGGAAAAGACAAAGTGACAGACTGAAAGTGACAGGTTGAAAAATATGTCCACAAAAAGAGACACAGGGGTGGATAAATAGTCTATGTGGGGTTTTGTTTGTCTTTCACCAAAATATAGGGTGTTAGTGTTTGCATGTAACATCTACTGTACATCTAGGCATGACTATACCATTCTCCTTAATCATCTGTATACACACTATTTACTCTTCCATCTAAATTACATGGGTTTACACACACACACACACACACACATCTTTCTAGAGTTTGAAGGTATAATGCATTCCCTAGCCCCTTACCTCTGAGCTCCTCTCCTCTCCTCACTCTCCATGCATTTATATGCCCATTACATGTCACTAACTGCATGTCTCCTCTCTCCCGTAGTGTCTTCTCTCTCTCTCCCTGAACCTTTCCGCAGGTGTCCCTGGCTCCGAAGCTTCATGTTTCTGATGAGCAGTCACCAGCCACGTCAACCTGCCCAGTGTTTGATTCTTTTGTTTTGTTTGTTGTGTCTTGTTGCTTTTCCTTTCTTTTCTCTCTCCTCTATCCACTCACCCCGACTGGTCGAGGCAGAAGGCTGCCCACCAAGAGTCGGGGTCTGTTGGTGTTTCTTCACCAAGTGCTTGCTGAAGGGGGATTTGTTGGGTCTTTCGCAGTATCACAACCTTACTATGTAAAGTGCCCTGGGGTAATTTTTGTTGTGATGTGGCACTATACAAATAAAACTGAATAGAATTGAATTACTTTAACCATCACAACTAAATGCCTAACGCCAACCCTTACCCTACCCCTGACCCAAACCTAATTCTAACCTTAACACTCAAACTAACTCTCAGCCCTCAAACAGCCTTATGAAGTTGTGAGAACCAGCCAAATGGTCCTCACACTAATGGCATCAAAATAAAATTTGATCACACAACTACAGAAAGACTTGAACACATGCACAGTCACACAGAGGTACCTGTACTGTGGCAGTGAAAAAACAAAACCGAAAAGTGGCCACTGATGGTCTGCATGGTGTTGTGATGTGTGTATGTACAATAAGTACATATAGTATGTGTGGAACAGAGAAAGAAACAAGGACAGTGGGGCACTTCTGTCAAACCTTTTACTGTCCATCTATGCACATGTTTGTCTAGTATGTGTGCACTTTATACAAAGCTTGTGTGTGTCCATTCACATGCATGCAGTCAGGACTGCAGCAGACCTCACTGCCTCAACACAGTGACATTTTCCTAGCTCAGGCTGCCCCCTTGACATTTTCTTGGTGTCACATCAGTCTTAATTTAGCCAGATGTCACATTCACTTAGGCACACATCTCTAAATGAAGGATCTGCAAGTGTGTTTGCAAAAACACAGACACGCATCAAAAACTCATCTTCCTGACAAATCAAAGTCATCACTTGGGAACAGAATGAGTTTAATGTTTCCTTACGCTGTGCAGATATGCATAAATGTTGTGTTTATACCGAATACAATTGTCACTATGACACCTGAGAAAATTATGTAAGCTGTTGACATTCTATTTAAGAGGAGTCAAAGAAAGATTCTGCATTAAAGTCTTCAAATAAATAATATATTTCAGTGATAATGAGATTTATATACAATGCTATTACTGCGGGAAAATGTCAGCTTAGTGCTTCAGACAAGCAAACCTATTCAGACAAACTGTAAAAATGTCTTTTGCAAGTACAGAGTATCACACATGCAGTGGCATGTAATAATAACATTGCTCTGCATAGAGGACCAGAACAGGTGGTGTTTATCCAAAAATACTAATAAAAACAGTCTGCCTGATAAAGAGGCACAAGCTAAAGCACAGAAGAAAGACATTATTTTACCGTCACTTTGAAAAAGTCTCCTGCGAGATTTTAAAAATCTTCTGGCAATCTACTTGCTAAATTATATTATGTTAAAAATGTCAACCATCTGGCACCTGAATAGGATAACTAAAACACTGACATTATTGTTACTGTAGGTATTTTGACAAATCATTTAACTAACTCCTTGCCTTATGGTCTATATTTGAAGAACGCCCTCCAGCCTGTCACAAAACTCTCATGTTGCCAATTACCCAGGGAAATTTTGAGATCACCTTAAGCATTTCCATTTTATAAACTTTATGACAGTCTTAAACAGTTGTCAGTCAAGTCGAGCAAAGTGTTGCAGCATCATTTAAATGTGCACTCCCACTCACAACAGAGCCCTGGTTGCACCATTATACTATAAAAGTAAAATTATACTGATAATGCCCTGCTACTCATATCACCCACAACCTCAGCACAGGACCTTTTCCCCTCTCACCTTTGACATCCCACAGGGTGAAGTGTCGATTACTGGAGGCTTCAGGGGCCAGGGTGAAGTAGAAGTGATGTCCAGATTGTGGCTCGTCTCTATCCACCACACTGATGGTGTGAATCAGCTAAGAAAAGAAAGGCAATAAAAGCAAGAAAGGAAATAAAAGGACAAGAATCAAGCGAAACAGAGGTTATATTGTCGACTCAGATCCACTCAGTGGGAACAAGAAAATGAATGTGAAAAGCATTTTACATTTCAAATGCCTCTTTTATGAAGGAGGGAGCGAAGTGGAGTGAGTGTACTTGGATGCAGCAGGCTCAAGGCTTCCTGCAATTCAAACAGGCTACAGTCACAAAGAGATAAAAACTTCTTTCTCCAGAAAGTTGATGCACTATTAGAAAAACTGTCTTAATGGTAGAAATGCAAAGCTATAAAACACCTCACTAAAAGTGTTTTTTGAACAGAAAAGGGCAGATCGTTTTGAGCAAGAAGGAGCAAAATGGAAATGCAAATGTGCAGGCGGACATAAAGAAAGACACCGAGACTAGGCGAAGGCGTAGTCCTCCTAGCTAATGCAGTAATAGTGATCCACATGCAAAGATAAAACTCAACTGTGATCCAATTTTAAAAACTCTGTGTGAACACACTAAGGTGTGATAGGATTCACAGTGAGCTGAACAGACATCAAACAGCCCCTGGAGATCCTTTCACCTTAACACAAGCCTCTCAGCAACAGTTCATCCTCCTCTCATCCTATTATTCTGCAGCCAGCAACAAACCACAAGCTGATAGTTGATATTTTCACATCACATCCGTCGGCTGTTTCCTCTGCCGACGCACAACATGTGAGCAAACATAGTTGTTATTATTTTGACTTCTTTAACCTTTGTTCACCCAAAAAGCTACTTTTCAGTATGGCAGCAAAAAAATAAAAGCAACAAATAAGATAGTTTTCTCAAAACAACCTATTTTTAACATCAATTTTGAACTATGAAGAAAAGCATTACGACTTAATGATTATCTGCAGTGTATAGCATTAAAATACAAGGAAACAAACAGTTGCATATATTTGTGTTCTCTGAAGGAAAACAACTGTGCTTATTGAAAATGACAAGCTCCTTTCCCCCCTAAACATCAGCTGTGTACAAGTATAGTATCTACTGCTGTTGTGTTGTCAATCACAAAACACAGCAAACAAGTAGCACAGATGGCAAATATCATTTTGTCAATAATGAAATTATTTATATTTCGGTTTGCAGAAAAAGGCGAGTGCCGACACTTGCTTTATGAAAGCTCAGTGTCTTTACTGTTTGTCTTAACCATAGCTTAGATATTTGTTTAGCTACAGCTCGTCCCACTCCTGTCAGCCCAGGTATCTATAGCATTATCCCCATGACACACACAGTCACATATTCTCATCTGCCCATTTTTATCCTACACAAAGGGCTTTTAGTCTTGGCAAACTCTTTTCACTCTTAATATAAGACACAGTCCTTAATAATGGCCTTAAAGGAGCACTCCAATGAGTTGCATGTGGGGGAATCAGAACACAAAGGAGGTTGTGAGGTTCACTGAGACATTTTTCCATCCAAAAATTAGACCTAATAAAACAGGACTATACAGGTTGTGAATGGCTGGGAAAAGAGAATGAGACAGGTACTGTCCCTAAAATCCACCACTGCCATTTCTCTATTTTTGTAGAACCTGATAAGAAGACCTCTAAATTCATTTTGATTTTGGAAGTCACACACACACACACACACACACATGCAGGTGGACTGCTCAGAGGCGCTATTAGAAATCAGCAGAGAGACACATGACAAACAACCCCCAGAACTACTATTAAGTGAGGCATTTCTCAGAATGATTAAAGGAGGATGTTCGATGGCTGTAATTCTTTTGTCTGGTCTTACAAAACCTCATGGTATCAGATAGGATCGACGGAAATATATCAAACCATTATTCAGCTGTTACAGGGGCAGGATACTCATAAAATGTTAAACATGGCTTTGTTTACTGAACTCTTCTTCTGTCTATCTTTTCTCCTCCACCTCTCTGCCTCTTCAGCCTGTTCTCTCTGTTCATCACTATGATTTCCTTTTCCTCTGATTCCTTGTCCTCTGCATTTATCTCCTCCAAAGCATCTCCCTTTCATTCTTGTCCTTTCCAGAAAAGTGTGTCTCTCATTCATCATGTCCCTGCAAATTGATTATTCAAACAATAATACTGAAGATATACTCCACACCTTTATGGCACACGGAGACATCTGCTTTATTGTGTGATTGTGTTGCCTGTCTGTGTGAGACAGCCTCATTCATTTATAGCACCGCACAACTCTGAATTATGAGCCTGAGCGGTGGCTATGCATTATTGTGACTAAGCCACTGATGAGCACACTTCTGGGCCACCGTTGTATCTTCACAATAAACAGCTCCTCAGCACTGACATTGCATCACAGACACAGAATAGGCTTAGTCATACCCATAGTTCAGAGAGGCTGCTTGGGATAATATAGCTTACTTTGTAATTACAAAATGCTATGCAATGATTTCATGGTAAATCACACGCTTCTTCCTTAGTGCGCAAAATCTGCACTTGAGAGACACAGAGATGCATGAAATAGGTCAGAAATTACAGCCTATTTTCCTACAACGATGAGTAAATAAAGAAAATATCATTAGATCACAATTCAAATCTCACTCATGGTACAGATAGCTATAGTTTCACAAGCACAAGCTGTGATGGTTTTCATTGTTTTGAAAATGACTTTTGTAGGAGGCAGCTATTATCACTTGCATCCAACTTCTTTACATGTTTGCTCTCATGCTATACAAGTAGACACATTGACATAAAGCAGAGGCAATCAGGCATCCAGACAATCCACAGTGATCTAAGAAAAATACAAATGACTGTGCTGTATGCCAAAACAGGTTTGAGCCTATCTCTCATTATTCTTTGAAGCCCTAACAGGTTTATAATGAGCAAAGAGAGGACACTACACTACGGGTGAAAGCTTTATTATCAGAGGATTGCATCTACTTGTTTCTTTAGAGAAATATAATCAGCAGTGAATGCGAGCCATGATCTGCCTTCTGTGACTGTGCCTTCAGCAGGGGGACACTCAGGCGGAGTCTCAG